GACAAAATAAAGATATTGTGTCCACCTAAAATTAAAAAATAAATATTAAAAAATTAATGACAGTGGAATGCATTACAAATCTTATTACATATATGCAGCACAATTTTTCATATCTATGGTTATATATAAAGTATATTCACACCAATTCATGTCTTCATACATGTACTTTGGATAATGATGTCTATCACATTCCACCATCCTTATTATTTCCTGTATTTTGCTGCTTTTGTTTTTGATTTGTTCTTCTTCTTCTAGGGCTTTGAGATGTAGTGTTAAGTCATTTATTTATTAACTTTTTCTTCTTTTAAGGCATGAACTCCATGCAATGAACTTTCCTCTTAGAACTGCTTTCATAGTGTCCCAGAGATTTTGATATGTTGTATCTGTGTTCTCATTCACCTCTGAAATTTTTTAAATGTCCTCCTTGATGTTTTCTATAATCTATTGCTCATTCAGCAGCATATTATTTAGTCTCCAGGTGTTGGAGTGGATTTTATTTTTTACTTTATCATTGATTTCTAATTTCATTCCATTATGATATGATAGAATGCAGGGTAGTATTTCTACTTTTTTATATTTGCTAAGAGATGCTTTGTGGCAGGTAAATGGTCTATTTTAGAGAAGGATCCATATGCTGCTGAGAAGAAAGTATATTTTCTCATTGAAGAATGGAAATATTCTATATATGTCACTTAAGTCTAAATTACTGATTGTATTATTGAGTTCTACAGTTTCTTTGTTCAGCTTTTGTTCAGAGGATCTATCTAGTGATGAAAGAGGTATGTTAAAGTCACTCAAAATTATTGGGTTGTGGTCTATTTGACTCTTGAACTTGAAAAGAGTTTGTTTAATGAACATAGTTGCTCCATTGTTTGGGGCATATATATTTATAATTGTTAAGCCTTGTTGATGTTTCCTTGAGCAGTGTGTAGTGTCCTTCTTTATCCTTTTTGCTTGACTTTACTTTGAAGTCTACTTTATTTGATTTGAGGGTGGACATCCCTGCTTGCTTCCACAGTCCATATAAGTGGTATGGTTTTTCCCAACCCTTTACCTTCAGTCTGTGAATGTCTGTTTCTATTAGATGAGTCTCTTGGAGGTAGCATATTGTTGGGTCTTTTTTTTTTTTTTTCCAATGTCTATGTCTTTTGATTGGTGAGTTTAGGCCATTAACATTCAGGATTATTTATTTTTGGTATTTAACATGACTTGGTTTCTCTTCTGATTAGATATTCCTTTAGTATAATCCCTCTCTCTGCTGATTTTCATCATTGTTTTTCATTTCCTCTTCTTGAAATATTTTGCTGAGAATGTTCTGTAGTGCAGGCTTTCTCGCTGTAAATTCTTTTAACTATTATTTATTATGGAAGGTTTTTTATTTCATCATCAAATCTAAAGCTTAGTTTTGCTGGTTATAAGATTCTTGGTTAGCATCCATTTTCTTCAGAGCTTGGTATATGTTGTTCCAAGATTTCCTGGCTTTGAGAGTCTGGGTTGAAAAATCTGCTGAGATACAAATTGGTCTCCCCCTATATGTGATCTGATTCTTCTCTCTTGTGGTTTTTAAGATTCTATCCTTATTCTGTATGCTAGACATTTTCATTATAATGTGCCTTGGTGTAGATCTATTTTAATTTTAGACATTTGGTGTGCTATAAGTCTCTTGTATTTGGTTTTCCAATTCGTTCTTCATGCTTGATATTATCACATTGAAGAGATGTGCATTCCTTTTCCAATTCGTTCTTCATGCTTGATATTATCACATTGAAGAGATTGTGCATTCCTTTAGTTTGAAACTCTGTGCCTTCCTCTGTGTTCCAGTGACTCTTAGATTTGGTCTTTTGATACTGTCCCATAATTCTTGGATGTTCTGTTCATGGTTTCTAACTTTTTTCATTGTGTGATCAACCTTATTTTCCAGGTTGACTTCAAAGAAAAGCCAATCAAAAAGGATAAAGAAGGACACTACATACTGCTCAAGGAAATCATACACCAACAAGACTTAACAATTATAAATATATATGCCCCTTTGTGTTCATTATCTGATGTTCTTTCTTCCAAGTGATCTAGTCTGTTGGTTATGCTTTCTATTGAGTCTTTTAAATTTGATTTATTGTATCCTTCATTTCAAGGATTTCTGACTTTTTTTTTCAGGGTCTCTATCTCTCTTGAAGTAATCTTTTGCTACTTGTATTTGCTCTCTTATCTCATTGTTGGAGTGATCAATTTTTGCCTGTATTTGCTCGTTTAGGTCATTCTTTAATTCACAGATAATTTTAATTATGAACCTTCTGAACTCCTTCTCTGATATTTCATCAACTTCGATGCTGTCCATAGGTTCTGTTATTATAGTGTCCTAGTTTGTTTGGGGCACTTTCCTCCCTTATTTTTTCATGTTGTCTATGTGTCTTCCTTTCTTGCAGGGTGGATCTGAAATATTACAGTCTCTTCCCTATATTCTTGTAGTACTGTGCAGATTGTCTGTATCTCACCTTGATGTTGGGCTTCCAGACCCTGCTTGTGTCCCTCAATGAATGCTACTGCATCCTGTGTCTGGGTCCTGTGTAAGTTGGAGTGGGTGGATCTAGGCTGCTGGGCTTGACCTCCCCTGGTAGTCTGCTGGTCGGAAGGGGCAAGGGGCCAAAGGCTAGGCTCTGGTGGTGTCTGCCCGGCCAGGGGATGGGTAAACCAGGCCTACTGAGAGCCTGGATCCCGCATGGGCCAGTGTGGGTGGATCTCCTTGACTTTTTTCTTTTTTTCTTAGTTGTAGTTGGACACAAAACCTTTGTTTTATTACTTATTTTTATGTGGTGCTGAGGATCGATTCCAGGGCCTTGCACATGCTAGGCAAGTACTCTACCACTGAGTCACAACCCCAGCCTTAGTGCCTCACTTTTGTTGAGGCTGGCTTTGAACTTGCAATCCTCCTGCCTCAGTCTCCTGAGATGCTGGGATTATAGGCACGCACCACTGCACACAGCTAGGATACAAGTTTTTAATGGGAACTATCCAAAGTGTAATTATATACAAAAGTTATAATATAAATCTGGCAAATATTTTACTTCACAGGCATTATAAACATTAAATCATGCATATTTACACTTTTGCTTATTTTAACTGGCTTCCATAAACTTGTTTGCCAGAAATTTTCCTAAGAATGGTCAATTTTAACCATAATGACTTATTTTTGTAAAATGTTAAGGCTCACAACTATGATACTTATATATACATTTGCTAAAGAAAAGAGTATTTGCTTACTGATTCTTTCAGAAAGGGATAACTGTGTCTTATAATATTTAATTCAGCATAACTTTGGTCATCTTGTTATAACTCAACCAGTATAAAATCAACACATATGCCGTCAAGTTAGAAAAATCTATTACCCTTTTTAATCAATGATGAACATAATAAAAATAAAGGTGATGATAGAAAAAATATTCTTTAAAAATACAGAATCATGAATTTTGCCTACAACTTAATTCAGAGATCTAGTCATAGAAGAAACCACTAATACTAGCAGACAATTTTATTTTAGTGTTAATATAATACATAATTACAGATTCAGAAAATACAACAAATCTTAAGCTGAATAAATAAAAGTAAACCCATATACATGCACAATGCTATTTAACTATACCTATATAACAATTAAAGAAAGTGGCAGAAAACAGAATGCTTTCAACCAAAAAAGTCTAGAAGAAGTTCTATTAGTATTTAAGAATGAGAGTAAAATATCAAGATATGTTCAGACTAGTGGTATACCATGGGCAGGATGAGGGTAAAAATTCACTCCATGTGCAATACACAGCCAATAGAGAAGTTAAACACAACAATAATAAATGTGAATAACCATCACTGTGTTTTGGACCATTCCCAGCAGCGTGCCCTTAGTATGTCTCTGGTTCAGATCTAGGAAACTGAGGGAATTTTTAACAAACCTTCATTAGAGAACTAATGAAGGATATATTTTAAGAGGAAGAAAACTATAAAGTAACAAGTCTGAGATGCAGGAAGAAAAGATGAACAAAGAAAGTATAGGTATAAATAAATCTAAATAAATAATGACTGCAAAAAAGAATAATAATGCCAACTGAAGGTAGTTGTAGGAGGAAAAAAACCAACAGAGAATGAAACTGCTGGACATCAGTAATTAAAAAATGGGGGAGTAAAGTGACCAGAACTAGACTATTCTATAGATTGTGATACTTCAGTTTTTGATCTGAGTGTACACGTTAAATATTTAATAATAACTCTAAAAGAAGAGAATAAACACTAAGTTTCAAGTCAATAGAAGGAAGTAAAAAGAAATTAACAGAATGAATTACAAATTCATGCTACCTAACTCCAATCTGGCCTTTACTATGGCTAGACAATCCTTTCCTTCATCTATTGGCTCTATCACATTTCTTACAGTAACTTGTTCCCAACATTTCCAGGGAAAGTCCTCCTATGGTTATCTTGATTCTAGAAGATAACATTCTCTACCACTCAGAAGAATTTCAGAGCTCTCTGTAAATCTCCATCTGCCCTAGGTTAATAACAACTTTTTTACCAACAACTGAACCATTTCTCTCTATATACTACCAGTTTCATCTGCCTCTTACAAATATACTCAGTTTTGTTTTATCCTCAAACAGCCTTCCCTTACCTCTGCTACATCTTTTAAAGTGAAGGCCTTCTTTCTTAGTTTCCAGTTCTAAATTACATATAATCTATAATTGCAAGGGGGAGAAAAACTTAGTTTCCATTTACTTCCTATATTCTCTCTTCTAACATGCCATTGAAAAATTAGTTGGGTTTAGGAATGATAATAGAAGGTTCCATAATGAAAAGAATGGGCATAATTAACTTTCTTTATGCATACCATGAGTAAGTAGACACTGAATAAATATTTAAAAAATTTTAAAGTCTTTCATGTACATAACTATTGCTTTTTTATATTTATAAAGGTTAGAAAATGGCTATAACTTAATCTATGTTCAAGTCTTAGAGCCTCTTACCCTTTTTCAGTTTCCGGACAGCCAACATACAATGACTAGGAGAGAGATCCCATATTCTTAAGGTTTTATCATCACTTACAGTAGCACAGATCGGCAGATAAGGATGTGTAGCCAAACCCCATACCTCTCCTTCCATGTGTCCCTATAAAGAAAACAGTATCAATTTAACCTAAAAATATATGCATGACAGGAGCTCTACACACCTGGTTACCAGTAAAACTGATATTAAAAAAATTAAAAACCCAACCATTTAAAGTTTGGAAATGGTTTCGAGGAGATACAACAAATGAAGAAATATTTATTCATAAAAAAATCTGCTAAAATTTGGTAAGAACAGTGAGAATCTATGGTATTTAAAGTGAGATCCAGTGCTTTGTCCCTCCTCCCAAAACTTCATGCTGGACTGATACAAACAAGAACACCTGGCTGTCTCCACCATTCCCAGCAGAAGAGCTGTCTTCCCAGTGAGGGTACCAAGTCAGGCATTCCTTATCTTGCCTAAGCTGTCAGTTGTGGAGGCTGAATTCCTGGTGAGCAGACTGACAGGCAGAAGTTCCTTTCTCCCCAGCCCCTACTCCATATGGAAACCCAAGAAAACCTAAGAAGACCTTAGACTATTGCCCTTTCTATCTTTACCAAACACTCAGCCTTAAAGCCTGTCTTATTCTCAATTCAAGAGCCTTGACTCAGATATTTTCCCTGAAGGGAGAAGCAAGTCAAAACAAACAAACAAACAAACAAAAACAAAACAAAACAAAGTAAAATAAACAAATTTAAAAAAACAGCTCCTAATCTCAAAGAATTGACTTTATTTATAGCAAAGCAGAGAAAAGTTAATGACTAGGAATTCTCTCAAAAACAGTGGAGGAATGGAAGTGTCAGTGTATGCCTGTGATCCCAGCTACTCAGGAAGCTAAGTCAGGAGGAATTGCAAGTTCAAGCTTGGGTAACTTACTGCAAACCTGTCTCAAAATAAAAAGGACTGGGGATGTAGCAAAATGGTAGAGCTAGCATGTTAGGCCCTGGGTTCAATTTCTAGTAAAACAACAACAAACCACCACCAACAAAACAACCCACAAAAAAAACTGTGGAGGTTGTGATGAAAAGTAAACAGAAGGAGATTTATAGAATCATATGACATATGAATCTAAACTACAGACCACCTAGTTTGTCCAAAGGAACCAGAGAACTCTCAGAAGTAGCTAGGAGGATCTTTGTTGAAGTCACTACAAACCTAGGGAAATGTTCCTTTAAAGGAGTCAAATTTGATTGGTTTAGTCTGTGGAACAATTTATACTTCAAGAAAGTATTGAAAAGAATAGAGCAGTAATTAAAGGAGTTTAACAGTTAAGTGTGGTCAAGGCAAGAGACAAAGTACAGGTAATACTTCCTACATGATTTTATAAAGCCATTTCACTCTGATACCAAAACTAAAAATCACAGGAAATCTACCAAGACATCACAAGAAATCTACAGACTAATATCCCTTAAAAAGGTGGATTCTAAAACCCTCTACAAAATCCTAGCAAACTGAATTAAACATATGGAAAGATTTTCATACAACTAAGAATGCAAGATTGCCAAATTCAAAGATAATATGTCACATTAATAGAACTAAGGACAAAAACCATATGATCATCTGAGTATACATAGAAAAAGTGTAAGATAAATTCCTCCCTACCAATGTTTAGAAAAAAACTAGGAATAAGAAGGTGATTTCTTAACCGAGTAAAGAGAATCTATGAAAAAACCATGGTTACATTATACTTAATGGTGGAAAGCTGAATTCTTTTTCTCTAAGATTAGGAATGAGACAAAGGTGTCTTTTCTAACCACTTAAACTTTAGCCAGGACAATAGGGCAAGAAAAATAAATAAAAGCCAATCATATTGAATACAAGGAAATAAAACTATCTCTACTTACAGATACATGATCTTATATATAGAAAATCCTAAATAATGTACTTATTAAACTATTATAATAAATGAAGTCAACAAATTTATTGGATATAAGGTCCTATTATAGGCTATTATAGGCTATGTACGAAATCAACTGTATTTCTCTACACTAGTAATGAACAATCTGAAAACAAAATTAAAAAGAACTGTATAATGGTATAACAAATAATAAAATACTTAGAAATAAATTGAACAAAATAGGTATAAGACTTGTATACTGCAAATCACAAAACCCTTCTGAAAAAAGAAAAGGTCTAAATAAATAGAGAGCTATCCCAAATTCATAGGTAGGAAGACTTAATCCTGTTAGGATTAATCCCTAAACTGATCTACAGACAGTGCTGCTACAATTGTCATATTTTTTTTTAACCATTTAACATTTACGTTAGGTATAAACATTCCCACATTTTTAATTACTATAGTTTTATGAAGAATTTCTCAAAGACTTCTTGATCTTCTTTTCTCCTCTAGATGATCTTAAAAAAATCTTTCTAGAATTTGTGAAAAATCTCATTAAAGTTTGAATTGTAATCATACTGAATCATACTGAATCTATCATTTATTTTTTCTTGGATAGTTTATCTACAAAATTCTGGGTTACTATGTAGTTGTTTTATGTGAACATCATGTTTTTTTAAATATTTACTTTTTAGTTTTAGGTGGACACAATATGTTTATTCTATTTTTATGTGGTGCTAAGGATTGAACCCAGTGCCCTACGCATGCTAGGCAAACACTCTACTATTGAGCTACAACCCCAGCCCTGAACAGCATGTTTTGTCATATTTTCAAACTTGTTATTGCTGTTACATAGAAATACTATTGATTTTTATATGCTTATTTTGTATCTAAACATTATTTCCAACAATTTTTCATTTTATTCTCGATATACAAATTTGTTGTATCTAAAAATACCACCATTGTCCATTTATTTCTAGCACTTACACCTTTTATTGATTTGTTTTACTGAACTGGCTAAGGTTTTACCCATATTGGACAAAAATGGTAATGTGGTATCTTCCCTTGTTCCTGATTTCAAAATAAAAAGACATTGAAATCTTAAATTTATAATAAATTCCCCAAATAATGAAATTGGATGGGTGTATAGCTTAGTGGTTAGAGCACATGCTTAGCATGTGTCAGGCCCCGAGTTTAATTCCCAGACCCCCCCCAAACACACACACAATGTATTAAAAACAATTTTAAATCCCAGTGCTTGAGACAGGGTCAAGACAGGAGGATCTTGAGTTCAAAGCTTGCCTCAGCAATGGCGAGGCACTAAGCAATTCAGCAACACCTGTCTCTAAATAAAATACAAAATAGGGCTGGGGATGTGGTTCAGTAGTTGAGTGCCCCCGAGATCAATCCCCAGTACCAAACAAAAACAAAAAAATTTTAATTGGGAGGTCATTTAGGCTGGGACAACTTCAGTGCTTTAGGTGCCTATGTAAGATAACCAAAGCCCCATGTACAAAATAAAGTGAAACTAGATACTTTACCAATCAGAAACAGCCAACTAATCTCTAATTAAGGTTTTCCCACTCTAACCAATCAACTAGATCTTTGTTGTCCACATTGTCTGTAAAAGCTCGATGCCTATGCTCCTGCAGCAGATTCTGCTGAACCTCTTCTGGTTTCAGATGCTGTCCAATTCATGAATATTTTAATGTTCAAATACACTCTGCTAATTTTATTTTGCCTAAAGTATTTCTCTTAATAAATATCATTTAGTACTTCTTATTTTTTTTATAATTATGAAACTGTGGTTTTTAAAAATTCCATCTCTGAATTCATCCATCAGAAGATACTTGTGCTAATAATTCCCAAGATATCATAAACATATTAAACACAGAAAAATGAGTGTATAACCGTATGATAAAATTTTATTGCTAAAAACATTTATTATGACTCCATTTTTAATTTCAAAGGCATTTATAAACTGAAATTGAGTAAGATAGCATTAATTTAATGTTTTATCATTTGCATATTTATTCTTTAATGTCATATTAATAATATAATAAAGCATTAAAGAATGTGCAGTGTTCTCATGTATGTGTACTTTTTGCTATCTTAACAAGAATGAAGTAGGGGTTAGAAGAGAGATAAGTGAGTATTAAGAAAGAAAATAATTCTTTTTCAGAGTAAAAGGCAAACCAAAGTTTGATTACTATATAGAATTGCATAAGGACAGTTTTTCATCAGGATAGAGCCAACCGCACTATGTTTTTACAGTGTTGATCTATTTCCCTCCTTACTTTTCAGAAAAATATAATACACTAAAGAAATGTACATGTAAAAACCTTATATGCCACTCTATGGAAATGTTAAGCGCCATATGGCCAACAGCTATTGCTGGTATGTGTATATTTCTACTACACAGATTTTTATATTTCTGATTTTCTGTTTTATTATTGACATACTTTGACTAATAAATGTTTTTAGCAATAAAATTTTATCATACAGTTATACACTCATTTTTAAAACTATTTTTATTTATTTATTTTTAGCTATAGTTGAACACAACATCTTTATTTTACTTATTTATGTGTATATGGTGCTGAGGATCGAACCCAGAGCCTCCCATGTTCGAGGGGAGTGCTCTACCACTGAGCCACAACTCCAGCCCTCATTTTTTTTTAAGTTAGAAACTAACAATGACTCATCTACAGAGCTTCACAGAAAAATAACTGCCTTATGTTAAACAAATATACCTCAAATAGATAAAATTAAATCTGAAATAAATGTGCTGGGCTAAATTCTTTACAGCCAGTTTTTCTATTGGTTTATTTTGTAATAAGAATTAACTCAAAATATTGGCAATTATTCCATATGAGAATATGAATATTTATTTACTGATATTAGTGATAACCAAATTAAAATTTTTCTTTACATATTAACAAATATTTCCATAATTAATATTATTTTTCACCACTGTCAACTTTTCTTATGTAATGAAAGAATAAATTCTATGTAAAGAGAAAACAGCATATTAGTATTTCAAAGTACCTGGACCAGAAGTGTTACTGGGCCACTTTTATCCACTTCTAATATTTCACCATTCTTTGTGCCAACTAAAATATGACCATGGCCTAATGATATGGCACGTATAGATGGGTTATCTTCCAAGAGAAGACCTGAAATGTTAAAAGGAGATGTTATTATATGTATGAAGTTATTAATAAAAGGACATATTGTGACAGTATTATTTTTTAAAATATTAATTTTTTAGTTATAGGTGGACACAATATCTTTATTTTATTTTTATGTAGTTCTGAGGATCAAATCCAGTGCCTTAGGCATGGCAGGTAAGCACTCTATCACTGAGCCACAACCCCAGCTCGTGACAGTTATTTTGACAATGAACCCATACAAGGTTGATTTCTCCTGTATTTCAAGAATACATTGTAGTTCCTTCAATCGATTTATTAATTTCAAAAGAAGTACACAAATATAGTAGAATTTTATTTTTTTTATTGTTTTTGTTGTTGTTTTAAGGTACTGGAGATTGAACTCAATATTCCACATAAGCTATGTCAGTGTTCTATCACTGAATTATACCCTAACCCCTGACAACTCTTTCTTTACTTCTGTGTTAGCCCTTCCTCATCAATCTCCTGCCCCTCTTAGAACACTTACACTATTCTGATTAGCAATTTTAATTCAATGTAAAATATATTCTTTTATGTCTATTGTGTCTTACACAGGCTTCAGTGATATATTAGAAATTTGACAAACCTAACTCCTCCCCTTAATAGCATACGGTGAGGAAAACAGACCCTGTGTTAGGAACATATTCAAAAAGGAGCATATAGCAAGGAAATTTCACATTTTTGTGGGGAGGTGAGGATAGGGAAGTCATCCTAGAAGAAATAGTGTTTGAGATTTGAAAAATGAGAATGTAATTAGGAAATGGAGGAAGAGGGAAGAATAAATTCTAGGCAAAACTAATATGCCGAAAGTCTGGAGGCCAGACAGAGCGTGGCATAGTGCCTTAAAGGAAGAAGTGCATTGAAAGTAAAGGCAAAGGGAAGAAGGGCCTGTGAGGTAAAGTAGCAGGGTCAACAAAAAGCCCTGATGAAAAAAAAGCCAAGTCAGAAAACAAGTTCCTGGATGATGATAAATATGATGCTCACATGGAAATTTCCTTTGAAAAATTAAAAATATTAAAAGTTAATATTGATAAAATTGTACTTGGCTAATATTTTATTACATGTATCTCAGAAAACATATTTTTGAAAGAATAGCAATGATTCTGGTATCAATTAAGTCCCAATTAAATCTGATGCCCATTGAATAAAGAAGGAAAAATATATTCCATGTGGTCCACCTCAGTAGTCAAGTTAACTAATGAATAATTGATCTCTTTTTCTATAATAAATTAAATCTCAAATCACCTTTGGATCCTGGGGCCAAAGCAGCTCTTTTTATAGCATAGGTCTTGAGACATCTTTCAAAGGAGTCATCCCAAAGAGCTACTATACCATCTTTTCCTCCAGTTACAAATCCCTATGAAAATAAAATATTCAAATTATTAAAGATTTAAATATTTAAAAAAATAATAACCTCCTTCATATTGGAAAACTCTAAAGGAAAGACTACAGACAAAAGTTACAGCTTGCAAATAACAGGAATTAGATAAGAATCCATAACAGCTTTTAAAGAACTGACATTAAATCTGTAAAAATACTTAAAATAATAAACATTCTACTATTAGTATAGGATACTAAAATACTAATACTAATTTGGAATTATGAGTTAGATCACCAATTTCAGAAAGTTACATATATTCTCCTGGAGTCTTTCAAACTTCAGTCTTTACAAAGAAGGAATAATACTGGTATCCACCTGATAGGATATAATGATTATATGTAAAACAATTTTTGACAACTAGTAAGGGATTAATAAATATTAAATTAAAAATTTTTTCAAAATGTTGACCTATTTCAATCTGTGTTTATAAAGTTGAAGAAAGGAACAAACCAAGGTCAAAAGACCCTGTCCCACAGACTATAATTGGGTAGTCCAGCCAAGAAGAACAGCAGGGTTCCTATACTTCTGAAAATGCTCTATATGCCATGATCAGATTGTGTTTAATTTGAAATCTCTTTAAGTTACTTACTTTTTCCAGTGCATGCATACTGAACACAGGTCCATCATGTGCTTTAACTGTTTTTACAAGGAAGACATCTCTCCAGATACACACATCTCCTGTGGATGTTCCAGAAAAAGCCATCTCTTCAGTCCATCCATACACTGCACACATCATTGTGTCATTTTTCCCCAATGTGCCTATGTAGCCTTTTCTTCCAATCAATCCTCCCCCTGGTTCATAAAAAATATTACAAAAGTACCACTTTCAAAATATACACAATTATAAAGTACAGTTTCTTTTCTACTATTGTTGTTTGAATAGAAAGACATGTAACAGTAAGAAGAATTAAAAAGAGAAATATGGATCTCTTTTTTTTTTTAAAGCAGCAGATTTTTTTTAATATTTATTTTTCAGCGGACATAACATCTTTGTATGTGGTGCTGAGAATCAAACCTGGGCTGCATGCATGCCAGGCGAGCGCGCTACCACTTGAGCCACATCCCCAGCCCCATGAAATATGGATCTCTTAATCAGCAATTCAGATACCACCTTGTATGGTGTATTTTAGGCCATAGATTTTTTTGATAAATAAGACATGGCCTAAGTCAGTATTAATCAGTCTTCATCATTTTTGATAATATTTTACAAAATTTTTGGTATGACATATTTAAGAATACAAAAGGTATTTTTTGTACCAATACAACAAACACCTGTATATCCTCTATCAAAATACAAAAATATACCAAACCAAGTATACCCTTCTTCATATACTACTATTCTGAATGTAAAGTTGATCATTCTCCTGTATTCCTTTATACATCTTATTATGTATTTATTAATTCTTGAGTCATGTGTCATATGATTTTTCACATTTTAAAATTTTCTATAAATATCATCTTGTATGTTTTCTTTTGCAACTTGTTTTACTCACCAAGGATTTGTCAGTTTTATACAAGTTGATTTTTACTTCTGAAAAACATTTTCATAACTATGGATTCATTTCATTACACAAACATTCATTTATTCATTTATTCATTTTTTATTAACAAGTATTTAAGTTGCTTCTCATTTTTGCTATTGAAAACAAATCTGCCTTAAACATTCTTATGAGGATCTCTTCTATACAATTGTAAGAATAGCTCAAGGAATGAGTAGGAATAGTCATAGAATAATGTGCAAAAGAAGCAATTTAAATAAGAGTAGCCCCAACTCTTCTTTCTAAATTTTTCTCCCAATTCAATATACCAACTTCCACTTCCATTAACAGTGAAAAGAGTTTCTGTTGTTTCCCACATTTAGGAACACTAAGGTACTGTCAAAAAATGGAATGTGAAATATCAAGTGAATTTTATTGTGGTCTTAATTTACATTTCTGTTAGCATAAATGAATTTGATCATATTTTCATATTTTTATTTGTTATTCATCACCTATTGATATCTTTTTTCCATTTTTCCAATTGAACTCATTCATTCATTTATTTAAGACATACACTTATTTAAGAACATGCCATACACTGTTCAAGGCACTGGAAGTAGAGCTAAGAACAAAACAGACAACAAATTCTCCAGTTTTGTGAACTTTATATGGACAGTTAATGAATATGACAATTAAGTAAAATGTATAATAAATTAGGTAATGATTAGGTAATGATTGGAAAAAATGTAAGCCTAAAAAGGATATAAGAAGTTTGAGGAGTCCATTGTAAGGGTGTGAAGGGAAAGCCTTATCACAATGGTAGTATCTGAAGTAGAACTGAAGGAGGTAGCAAGAGCAAACTGAGTTAGAATAGTGTTTCAGGCAGAAGGAGCAGCAAGTGCAAAGGCCCCAAAGCAGGAATGTGACTAGAATCTTCAAGGATCAATCAGGAGAGAAATGAAGAGTAGCAAAGAAAGTAAGAGATTAAAGACAAGAATTATATGATCACTCAATAGATACTGAGAAAAGCAGTTGACAAAATACAACACTTCTTCATATTCAAAACACTAGAAAAACTAGGGACATACTTCAACACTGTAAAAGCTATCTATGCTAAGCCCCAGGCCAACATCATTCTAAATGGAGAAAAACTGAAAGTATTCCCCCTAAAAACTGGAACAAGACAGGGATGTCCTCTTTCACCACTTTTATTCAACATAGTCCTTGAAATGCTAGCTAGAGCAATAAGAAAGAAATTAAAGGAATATGCATAGGAAAAGACGAATTCAATCTACCACTATTTGCTGATGAAATGATTCTATATTTAGAAGATCCAAAAAATTCCACCAGAAAACTTCTAGAACTCATAAATGAATTCAGCAAAGTAGCAGGATATAAAATCAATATACATAAATCATTTCTATACATGAATCCACTGCAAGAGAAATTAGAAAAACCACCCCATTCACAGAATCAACCAAACAAAAGAGGTGAAATACCTCTACAATAAAAACTATAGAACACTAAAGAAAGAAATTGAAGAAGACCTCAGAAGATGGAAAGATCTCCAATGCTCTTGGATAGGCAGAATTAATATAGTCAAAATGGCCATACTATCAAAACTGTTATATAGATTTAATGCAGTTCTTATAAAAATTCCAATGACATTCTTCATAGAACTAGAAAAATCAATCATGAAATTCATTTGGAAAAATAAGTAGAATAGCCAAGGCAATCCTTAGCAAGAAGAGTGAAGCAGGAGGCATCACAGATCTTAAACTATATCACAGAGCAACAGTAGCAAAAATGGCATGGTTTTGGTACCAAAACAGACATGTAGACCAGTGGTACAAAATAAAAGACACAGAGACCAACCCACATAAATATGACTATCTCATACTAGACAAAGGCATCAAAAACATACATTAGAAAACAGAGAGCCCATTCAACAAATGGTGCTGGGAAAACCGCAAATCCAAATGTAGCAGAATGAAATCAAACATCTATCTCTCACCCTGCACAAAAATCAACTCAAAGTGGCTAAAGTCTTAGACACTAGAACAGAAACCCTGCACCTAACAGAAGAAAAAGTAGGCCCAAATCTTCATCATGTTGGCTTAGGATCTGACTTCCTGAACAAGACTCCTAAAGCACAAGAAGTAAAATCAAGAATCAATATGTGGTCCTTGGCCCATTTGTTGATTGGGTTATTTGTTATCTTATTGT